TTGAGTCAATTTTTTTTGTATTAATTATTTATTATTATTATTATTATTATTATTATTATTATTATTATTATTATTTATTTTAAAATTTGAGTTAAGTTATGATTAGGGTTCTTAATTTAAATCAGAATTTTAATATTACGTAATTAAAGGTGTTATTGACTTATAGCTTAAATGTATGCAATAGAAACAGTTGATATAAGACCATTAAAATTAAATAGAGGGAATACAACTATACAAATAAGTGACACAAATTAATAATTAATCTAAATCTCTTTGATAAATAGCTTAATTATTTGGAATTGGATGTTAAACGTATGAACATCACAATTCAAAAGAGTACATCATTTCGAAAGGAACACATTCTCCAAAATCTTGATTTTTTAGGCTTAGCTTTAAGTGCTTGTGTTAAACACTTAAACTTCCATTGGGTCGTATGTGGACCACGTACTTGTTAAAATGGTGCGACACGATCACATTTAACATAAATGCATTCGACCAAGTTTATACAAATTAAGTTCCAACCCAATACCATGGTTATCATTTTGATGGATCCAACAACATTCTTCCATCACTACATAAGCCTCGATTGGCAAGGGATAGTTGAATACTTCTAATATAAAATTCGTCGTCATTTGTCCATCTAGACATGAATTCTTCAATCTGAACATGTATATACAAGGAACAACCAAATCAAATATAGCTAAAACATCCAAGTAAAAATTGGAAGGAAAAAAAAAAGGCTAAATCTTATTTAAGCACTAACCTCTTTAAGGGACAATTTTTCAAGGGTGACTAATTTTTTCTGTGTTGCAAGCTCTTGCACCATCTTTTGTAGTTTGCAATATTTTTCATAAAGAGCAATCTGCCAGAATAAGCATGTATAATTATTGTTTAATTAAGTTTTATCAATAGAATATTAGGTAATGTGATGTAATAATGCTAAGAAAATTTTAAACTAATATACAAATATACCTGCTTTTTTACTTGGATTTCAAGAGCTAAAAGGCAATCTTTTGTTTTTTGTTCCTCTTGTTTTAAAATGTTGTGTTCATCCTCAAGAGATGAAATTTGTTTCTCTAATTCAACCATTTGTGGTATGCGCTGCGTTTTTGCAACCTTCTCTAGTTCTTCAAGATCTTTAATTTCCTTCAAACATCTCTATGTTGAGACAATGAGAAAACTTCGTCACAAATTTAATGTATCATCATGCCATTTGTTTATAGCTTAATCCAAGATCGCAAACTTAATACAAAAACTTAGGCTATGTACCATTGTACCATATTACTTGGGCTTTATTGTGCTTTTTTTTATAGCTATATATCTTTAATTTCCCAATGAAAATGGTAATTTATACGTGAATATATAGTACGACAAATCAATTAAAACTCCATTTGATATATTTTTTCTTACAGTTCAGCTTCCATATAAGTCAAAGTAGTTTAGTCAAATTAGACAATTTAATCACATCAGATTAAAAAAAAAATGAGATCACATCAGATAAACAAAAATAAGGTGATCTAAACATAACCTTAATAAAGTGAATACATTGGTTAATTATAAGAAAAACTTACATGGAGGTGTTGTTTCAAATCATACTTATTCATAGAATCATAGTACCAATTGTGAAGATGTCTATGTATTGAAAATGGAATTTTAGATTCTGCTTCTTTAATTTTGCCCTCAAGTAACACCTCCCTCCTTTGGAGATGCTCAAGCTCTTTCAAGATTTGTTTCTCTTTCGCCCATTTCGTCTTCCCATGACCTAATTGCTCAATCAAACCCGGAATTTTCCCTTTTATTTCGACCAACTCTATCTTTGGGTTCGATTCTTTTACCTCTAGGTTTTCATTCTGTATATATAAGTACTCAATAAGCCAAATAACCATGTACAACAATTCTTATGGCAATTATCATGCAAGAAAGTGGCAAGTAGAATAATTTATATATATTTTTTTTTTGAAATATAAGTAGAAATATTTGTAGAATTGTTTGTAAATAGCTAACATAGTTGAAAAATATGGATGTAGGTTGAAATCTATTTAGAATTTATCAAGTTATTGATGATGAAAAATTGTAAATGTTAATAAATATTGCTATTGGCCTAATCAATGAAGAAAGTTATATGATTTTTACGTACCAATTCCACGTTTAACTACTTAAATACATGCCAATCGTAATCAGCTAATAAATTCAAAGTATAATGCTAGTTTAAACTTATAACACAGTATGCAGATTATTGACAACGACATGCAGAAATTATACGTTAATAATTTATAGTTGCAAAATGTATTTAAGGATTAAATCTTCTTATAAAAAATAAATTATTAAAATGAATTTAGCAATCAATTAGCACATTTTAATTCGAACAAGAAAAAAAAATTGATTCATGATATTGATTTATAAAATTAGTGTGAGCAAGTTAAAGAATTGAAATTTATAATTTTATGCATTATTATACGGAGTACTACTCTTTTTGTTTCTTTTTGTTTGTTATGAGTAAAAAGAGATGGAGTACTCCATATTTGTTTTAGGTAGTGTGAACAGCTAAACAAGTCTAAGAATTGAAATCAACCAAAAAAAAATTGAAATGCTTACAATGCTTTTAGGCCAATGCTTGTGAAGAAACTCTCAACCGATTTCAAAACTTCGAATTAAACTTTCGGCTTTGTAATTTCTTGTACTAATATCTAATCTCAAGAATTCTAATTTATCCTGCACAAAATAAATTAAATACTCATTAGTTTATTACTTGTATAATGTATGATCTTGTATTAAATATTATTGTGTGCTCATCAATATAATTAAGGTTTTCTCATACTCTCTAAGCTTCTCTCTTCTTTTTCTCATAACTTTATCACCAAACCATGACTAGATACATTAGCTAAGATTTGGGATCAAATATCTTTGACTATCAAGGTTAATGAATTAATTAAGGGATGACAATAACTAAAACAGACAATGATGATTTGATCAAATCCTTTACAATAACTAAAACAGATAATGATGATTTGATCAAATTCTTTACAGTAATATCTACTCCATTTGTCCCTATTTTTTTGCCCCATTACAAATAATTAGGTAAAATCTTAGACCATAAATTATTACTCCGTATTACTCATACTTAGGGTCTATTCTCATTGATTGAACTCAGCTGAACTGAACTGAACTGAATTGAGCGGAACTGAACTGAACTGAACTGAACTACTAAACTAAACTAAACTGAACTGAACTAAACTGAAATGAATATTTTATAGGAGAAGAAAATTAGGAGTTGAACTGAACTGAACTGAGCTGAGCTGAGCTGAGCTAATCTGAGCTGAACTGAACTGAACTGAACTGAACTGAGCTGAGCTGAACTGAATTGAATTTCAACGTAAAAGAACATACCCTTAATAAGAGATAATATAGTATGTTGTTGGAATCATGTCATTGTGTTTTTTATTAATATCAAATTTTTATAATTTTTACGCATATAAGAATAAAGTTATAAACATTTCAAAATGTGCCTTGTTTATAAAAAAAAAAATGTGTCTTGTAGACCGTGTTATAATGGGGCAAAAAAATAGCAACGAGTTGAGTAAATTAACTTGGTATCAGAAAGTGAATTATAAGATTTACGCACCTTTGATAGCTGTATTTTATTGAGCAAGCTTCTTCTCTTCCATTCGATCCGGGTCATAGACTTTTTGGTAGCGTTTAAGTTGAGTTGCAAAACAGGATCTGGAAAATAGCGGTTTATTTTGGCCATGTAAAATTGATGAACCACCTTCATCGACCGTTTATTATCATCATCATTATTATTAAGATGAATGGTGCAACCATCACTATCACCTGAATAATTATTTTTTTGAACCAAAAGAAAACAATAGTCAATATAATTATACATAGACATTACAATTTACAATAAGTACGGTTTTGTATACAATGGTTGTATTGAATATACCAGGCTGAGTCAGGCTATACACTTATTGTAGCGTATACACCTGGCTAAGTCGGGCTAAACCACGTTATATTCAACCTTAATTGATGAACTTAATTAATTAACTAATTAAGCTTATAAAAAAATTACTACGTATAAAGTATTGTAGTGTAACATACCTTCAAATGCCATTGATGATCTCTCAAACTTTCAAGCTTTTTTTATGCAAAGTCATCTTCACTGATTCTTATTTATATATACGTGAATTAATAAGATCATTCGAAGAACTAGCTGAACTTGGAGTTCACGGCAAGCATATTAGTAAACGTAACATTCAATTTAAATTAAATACGTAGCACTCCGTATTAATTAAAAAGATACTACTCGTAGTAGATTCACAAAAGGCTATTAATCATTTGATCTACATTTTCTTTTCCTGATATTTTACCTTGTTTTTTATGTCTTCATGATATTTTACCTATTTGATTTTTTACTATCTCTAAAATACACTTTAATACATAAATGGGTTATGCTATTAAAATTTTTAATATACTTCCTTTTTTTTAGTATTAAGTTGAAAATTTATCGACAATTTACGAGTAAATCGATGTAATAAATGTTAATAATTGTCAATTTTTTTCACTTTTAGCTTCTTATAAGTAGTCGTAAGGGCTGCCTATATCTTTTTCCTACATAAATATCTCTAAGGGTTTGTTCATATTTACTGAACTAAGTTGTACTGAACTGATTGGAGCTGAACTGAACTGATTGGGGCTGAACTGAAATGAAATGAAATGAATATTTTATGAGAGAAGGAAATTAGGAGTTGAACTAAACTGAACTGATTGGAGCTGAACTGAACTGAAATTAAGCTGAAGTGAACAAGTTCTAATTCTATACAAATAAAATATAAAAATTAGATATTCTTAAAGTACACATTATGAAGAATTTAACAAGATTTCACTTACCAATATTACTGAGTATTTATTATGAATTAATAAGGTTTTGAGGTCAAAGTATTTAAAGTTTGACCTCAAAAAACACAACAGGGTAACGAAATAACGACAGAGGTCAAATAACATATGCATAAATTGTACCATAAAGGGGCTACTATGTAAATAAAAAATTAAGCATCAAATGGTATGTCCTCATAAAAATATTTCTTAAATGCATCCATATGGGCCACTTGTAAGCAAATAGCAATTTGGACTGACCCATCATTCATAGGCCCAGGAAGCATAAGACAATCACCATCAGAATCATGGGTACCTGGGCCCATATAAATCTCTTTTCCCCAACCAAAGTCAAGCCCATAAATTGGAAGAGTCAACCAACTAATGACCCCAAGATTTGGGTTACCATAAAATGGGCCTTCATTTTTGTTACGTGCATGCAAGTCTTGAAAAGGGGATAAATCAGTCAAATTTTTCCAAAAGTCAATGTTTGACCAAATATAATTATCGTCCACTTTTTCAATTGCTTCCCTTATTCTACCACAAGTATAACCCAAGGGTAAATTTATGATATCTCCTGACCTAGATGAAGCCACCACGTCTAATATAGCGTTACCGAGGTACTTCGACGGTAGTGGTGGTTGCAAGCGGCTACGTACATCGACTGAGAACCCTAAGCATGTTGGTTGTTCAAGGTGGTGCTCGCGTGCCTTGCTAGCACTTCTCCATACATGGGCCGCTACCACTTCATAGCGAGTGTAAGGATTTGTGTTTTGACGAATGTCTTGCTTGTTAGTGGCCTTCTTTAGGCTCTTAACATGATCTTTTGATAGAGGTAATATTGCCACGGTAGTGGCTTTTTTACGCTCCTCCAAATTGTTTTCTTGCCCTATTAGTAATGGTGGTGCACCAAACTCTTTGTGCATATCGCGAGGTGTTAGAGTTTTTGGGAGATATTGTGCTCTAATGATGTTCGGATTGAAGTAGGGAGCCATCGCAATTGGTTCACCACGAGCTAGTCTAGCCCATTCAGACATAAAATGAAGTGCACTTTGTCCATCAGCTAGTATATGTGATATGTTAACCCCTAAACAAACACCACCACATCTAAACTTGGTGAGTTGCCCTACCACCAAAGGTAACTCATCAATAGGTTTATTATAGTCAACAAAAGGAATGAGCTTATCAAATAAATTCGTTTGAGAGGCAAAATCACCAAAATCACTTAGCTCACCACAAGACTCGGCTTCAATTAGCTCGACTCCCGTTGCATTACATAAGAGTTCAAGTCTTCCTTGGCCTACCCATCGAACACGACCTGCTAGGGGATAAAAATGGACCAAAACTCGACTCAATGAATCCTTAAGGGTGTCTATGATAGTCTTGGAGGAAGTAAGCCACTCCTTAGAAGGCTTGTAGAAGTAGACAGTAGGAACATGGGTGATGACACCGGTTTGATCCCATTCAGATAATTGGAACACACCATTACACGTAAGCTCGATTGGTTTTACCATGTAGGAACATTTTATGCTAACTTCCATTATACCTGTGATACTTTAAAGGAAGACATAAATTCTTAGCATGATTGTTTTCCTCAAGAAAAAAAATTCATACATCCCTATAATTTTTTTTATTTATTTATTTTATTTTTTGAATAACCTATTGGTTTTGTTTAAGCATCAAAACTATGAGCAAGCAAGCAAGCAACTAATTTGAGACGGATAATATGCTACTTAATTACGAGCATAATTTAACGAAGAGTTAAAGACTTAAGTTGCATTTATTGCTTCTAATGTACATAGTAATTAAACTAAAAATTTAACATTTTATTTAGTTTTACTATAATTAATTATAAGTTACTCGTATAACTACATATATTGCATTAATTTAAATCGATAAAATGTTAGCTAGCTAGTTTAATTTATTATGGATGAATGCAATGTTTAATTATACTCATAGATGACAACGTGACAGCCCATCAAAGTACATTGACATTAAAATCATTGCGGTAACATTTTTTTAAGAAAAAAAATCATTAACATTAATAAGTGTAACATGTATGAGTGCATGTAAATAAATATTTTATTATTCCATATATTACAGAATATGAGAAAATAAATTCACTTGTTCAAACCATGAATTATTTTCTAATACCTCAAATTGATATAAGTGCCTCAAATTCTCAAAACACACCAACTGGCTTAGCTATTGCTAAGGCTGGTCCTAACATTTTACGGTCCCTTGGCAAAATATTACATGTGGGCCGTTTGTAAAAAAATTAATTTGTATTTTAATAATAAAAATTCATTAACAATGATCCAAAATTTTATTTTATAAAAATTCATTAACAACGATTCAAATTATTAATAGCTCAGTGTTAATTTATTTAAAGAAAAAAAATTCATCAAAAAAAATTCATCTAAATATATGTTTTCCCCTCACTTCCAAAAACACAATCAACTATATTATTTGATAGAAGCATGGAAACAATTAATAATATCAATGTGATTGAAATTTAAAGTTGGATACCTAATCAAATATATATATATATATATATATATATATATATATATATATATATATATATATATATATATATATATATATATATATATATATATATATATATATATATAATCCTCTAATAAAACTTGATTCAAATACCACTAGTTATGGCAATTCAAGTGGTTAGTAGTGGTATCTAATCCGCATAAAACATATTAGACATTAATTAACTATTTAAAAAAGTATCTAATTCATGAATCAATTCAAGTTTCAAACAAAGTTTCTTCAATTCTTCATAAATCCATAATCTAAATTATGTCATCAAAGCATTGTTAAAACAAATTACGAAGTAATATCTAAGAAAAATAAGGAGGTAGGTGATAAAGATTACTTACTTAAATAATCTCGATTTACTTAGCTTCGATTAGTAATAATAAACTTTCAAGATATATATAGTTTTTGCCATAAAATAATAAATTAACTCAGCTCATTAGAAAACGTAAGCAAGCTAAGTAATTAAGCAAACATGGAAGTTTATTTACTTAATGTTACATTATTTTGGGTGAATGTGAAATAGGAATTTAACTCTTGCAATCAAAGCAATTGTTAACCTCCAATCAAAAGTAAAAGCAAAGGAATGAATTAATGAAGAAATAAATTCAATCTCACTAGTAATAAGTAATAACTTACCCAAGAATATATGTAATTGATGAAGAACTTGTACACCAAGAAATTTATATTATGTTTCACTTTATTATGTATTACACTTTAAGTGAAGTTTTTTCATTAACTAATTAAAACTCCTACATTTTTAAATTCATGCATATAAATTACATAACCTATATAAAGCACAATATCTACCACAAAAAATGAAACAACAATCCATTACACCCCTAAAAAATACATAATTTTTTCTTGTAATTATTATTTATATAGTCATTTTAATATAAGTTGATTGTAAAAATGGAGAATGGAAAGAAGAGAATGGCTTTGCTAGTAGGATGCAACTATCCAAACACACAATATTCATTGCATGGTTGCATCAACGACGTTGTTTCGATGCAAGAGCTCCTCATGGAACGATTAGGGTTCGATAAAAGCTCGATCGAGCTCCTAGTAGATGAAGGTCCATGGTCTAAAGCATTGCCAACCGGTGTTAACATAAAGAATGCACTAAACAAGATGATTGATGAAACCGAAGAAGGGGATGTCCTGTTTTTCCATTATAGTGGGCATGGTACACTAGTCCCTTCTAAGCATCATCTTAATAAAAAGGAGGAAGCAATTGTTCCTTGTGATTTCAACCTTATTACAGGTAATTAATAGAATTATTATGTTTAATAAATAAAACTAATTAATCCAACAATTTAATTTAATCCACTATAACTCATGTTTTTTTACTTCATTAATTTATATGTTTGTTGTTGCCAATCTAGAGTTGAATGATATTAAGTTGGGTAGGGAGGTAGAAAAAGTTATGAAGAACACAATAATTGCATATTTTATACGTTATTTGTTGAATGTATTTTGATGAGTTATCTGGTGAACTATTAAGCTAATAGGATTTCACACAAATATCTTGATTAGTGATATAATTGGACATATACATTCTCCATAAGTTGTATAATTTCCTCAGCTTTTTAAGTACATTGCGTTGATTATCACAAAGTTTTAGGAGAGTGAGTTGAATGAATTAATATATGTGTAAGTGGTGTTTGTTGGGACAATAGTTTATTACGAATACTCTATAAAATGTATGGGATGTGAAAGACCGAGAGGAGAGGGAAAAAAAAAAAGGTTAGGAGTGGAGACCACGTGAGAAGTGAGAAACAATAAAAAATACGAGAAGATGTATAATAAAAGGAAATGATGCACTTAAAAAAACGGTCGAGAAAGAAAATATTATACTTAAAAAAATAATGGAGGAATGTTCTTTATACTATAGTCTTTTTCTTTTCTTTTCATTTTTTTTTTTTAATTTTAAAAGAATACTTTGAATTATTTTCGGTAAACTTTTGTTATGTTATGACTTCTATTCCATTGATTTGTATTCCATTGTTGTCTATGTTGTAGATGTGGACTTTAGACAACTAGTGAATGGGCTACCAAAAGGAGCAAGTTTCACAATCCTCTCAGATTCATGCCATAGTGGAGGCCTCATTGATAAAGAGAAAGAGCAAATTGGGCCCAATACCTTATCTCCTACATCACAACTAAGCAATAACTTGGGCCCAAAACACTCCAAGCCCAAAAAAATCCCAATTGAATCAATGTTGAACCACTTAGCCTCTCTTACAAACATGGTTGAGTCTGAAATAGGGGAACACCTAACCACCCTCTTTGGTGATGACGCGAGCCTAAGGTTCTGTCTTCCGGAACTAGACCAAGATAAGTTGTTTGGACCTCATAGGCCGGACTCCGGTATCTTGTTGAGTGGGTGCCAGACCAATGAGACCTCAGCGGACATGCCTCCTATGGGGTCCAATGGAAAGGCCCATGGGGCCTTCACGTATGCTGTTCAATCCGTGTTCAAAGCCCAACAAGGCCCACTTAGTAATAGAGAGGTGGTGATGTTGTCTAGGGAGGTGCTTGAGCAAGAAGGGCTTGAGGGGCAGCATCCTTGCTTGTATTGTAGTGATGAGAATGCTGATGCACCCTTCTTGATGTGGGATGATGCACAAAGCAAAATTGACCTATAATTATCATTTGATTTGTATTGAATCAATAAATCTCATAATCAATTGTGTTTCCTTTAATGCATAGTTCAAGTGAATCGAAAAACAATTAAATATGTTTTATTATCTTCTAATAACTTGTTTGATAGCTAGCCAGTAATAAATAACCGTAACAATAGCATATTGGTTTGTAATTTGTTTTTCAAGTTGTGTGACGTATGGATTGCATCGTAATAGACATTTGTTTATGTTATACTTTTACATACAAAATAAGTTATTAAAAGGCCTTGAGTAATAATTAATGGAATTAGGTATATATTATGCAATTCTACTAGCTAGCTAGGTACCTCATAATCTAGCTAACCTTTTGATCAAACAAGTATGGATTAAGTATCTAATATTTAATTTGGTCTAGTTGTACATCATTTTTTACAAGAATAAGAATTATGCACGTTTTCCCCAAACATCACTAACATGAGTCATAAGTCACAAGACCTTCTATAAAAAGGGAGCCACCAATTTTAATTTACACCCATTTAACACAAGAACACTCACATTACCATACAATCTCAAACCTTCTATCTAGAAAGAATATAAAATTAAGGTGGATGAGACGATGAAGAAAGTTTTTAGTAGTATATCTACTATGGCTCTCATAGTTGCCATTGTGGTTGTGTCGTTACTTCCGGCCACCTTTGGTGCGCGCCAAATTCGGCCTCTTACTTCTAGCATTTCTTATGAACTCACCCTTTCAAATACCATGGAGCACTTTGAAGGGGTTGATGGTGCTAATTCAATTAATAACAATAATCATAGTAATGATATCCCTTGTCAATGGTTGGGAAGTAGATGTGGTCCTGAGAGCCCGGCTCTATTTATTACCTGTTGTCCTCCGTATAGGTGTTTTAACCCTAAAATCGCACTTGGAAAATGCATACAATGATCAAATCTAAACATGGAGGCCAAATGGGTGTGTATTATGTACATGCGTGCATACTTTAACCCTACCACAATATCCAATATTTATACTACTCGTGTTTAAATAGGAGTATGATGGTTCATGTTTGTGACTTTGTGTTAGCAAATAAAAGTTGTGTACCCTATAATACTTTTTTAATTATATTACTTTGTGTTATTTTGAAATTGGAATGTTAGATAATATACCTTATAATATTTTATTTATTATATTACTTGTGTTATTTTGAAATTATAATATTAGATAATATATGAGGTAATATTTAAATTTAAAAAACACGGAGAAAGTAAATGAAAATATGTTACCCGAGGAATACCCAAGCCTAAAAATAAGTTTCATACATGTATTGAAAATGGGGAGGTAACATTTACCAAATTTCTCTTAATAATAAATAAAATACTCCGTATGTTTCTTAAATGGTAAAATTGTAAATAAATGTAACTTTTTGTTAGGTGTAACCACTATTTTAAGTACGAGTAGTGATTTTGTCTACAATTACAACAATACTCGTACATTATACTTGATTAATTAAGTTTAGTTTTTCAATATGAGAAATTGAGGCGGGTATAAGATATTATTGAATTCGTCATAATGTTTATTTTCATATTATAAAATTTTATATGATATTATTAACGGCTATTTCACCAAATGCCACTGAGCACTTTGGAAATTCACCAAATGTCATCCAACTTTTCAAAATTCACCAAATGCCACTCACAAACAGTATAATGACATGACGTGCCATTAATGAGGTTTGGACGTTAACAGTCCGTTATTGCGAAATGACGAGTATGCCCTTTGTTGGACTTAATGGCGCGTTGAACCTCATTGACTCTCTGACTTGTTCAAGTTAGATAAAAAAAAAACCAAAATTCATCTCATTCTTCTTCTCTGTTCTTCGAGCGTTCACCCTTATTCAAATCCTAAATCCATAATCAATCAAGAAGCTTTCTTCAACACCTGTACCAGACATTCCCAAAAATTGAAGCTTTTTTTTTCTGTTGAAGTTGGGCAAACCAGAACAGCGCTGACAAGTAGGGGAGGAAGTTGAAGCTCTTAAAGCACTTGAATTCGACTTTGGGGTGTTGGAGATAGCAAACAAGGTAAATTCTCAATTTCGATCTTGCTTTCGCGTTTTGAATCTGACATTTTTTGCGAAAATTGAGTTAGGGTTAGGGTTTTTTGCAATGTTCTTGTTAAATGTGATGACTTGACTTGACTGTGTGAAATAATCTTAAATTTCAAGTTAAAAATGTTAGTTGTTGTGTATTGATTTGGTATTGTTATGGTTTTTGAATGTGAAGTACTTGAGTTACATTTTTTGCGATTTTTGTAGTGGCATTGTTGGTAATGGTTTGGTCTGTTATGCTGTGTGGTGTGTTCATATGAATCTTATGTGTTGTTGTTTAGTGAAGTAATATGTCTGTAATTTGTTGTTGATAGGATGAGTAGAGTGTGGCTTGATGTCCATTACAGAGATCAGCGGTTTGATGTCCTGGTTGATGATACTGACAGAACTAGTCTAATGGACTTGTATGAGTTCATGTTTGAGGACTCTGTTAAGCAAAATGTGATCCTTCCTAAATACTTTAGTTTGTATGTAATGCCACCTAGGACTAATAGGAAATTGGAGTTGTGTGGGGATAGGGACATGTTGAGAATGTGGGATTGGTTTCAAGGTAAGGAAACAGTAGTAATTTTGTTAGAGGAGAAAGAAAGTCCTGGGCAGGATGCTCTGGCTAATTGGGATAAAAGGGTAAAGGCCATGGCTGAGAAGGCTAGATTGGAACAGGAGAAGGCCCAGGATGAGAGAGAGTTGAAGGAACAGGAAGCCTTTAAGGTTGCAGTTGAGGTTCCTGTGTCTAATCTTGATGATGGTGATTTTGAGTATATAAGAGTGTTTGACACTCCAGTTGCTGATTAAGTATTCCCTGGGCCATCTCAGCCTGTGGCTGAAGAAAGTACTCAACCCTCAACTCCACCTAAACACTCCCACCCAGCTTCACCTCTGAACCAGCCCAAAACAACACAAAAAAAAAGGGCAAGGAAAACAACCCCCAAAAAAAGGGCAAGGAAAACAACACAGAAACAACAAACAACACCACCACCTGAACACCCAACTTCAAATCAACCAGAAACAACACCACCACCTCAACACCCAGCTTCAAATCAACCAGAAACAACCCCACCACCACAACAACCACCTCAACCTCCAGTTTCACCTGAACCTCATGTAAGTCCACCACCAGTTTCACCTGAACCACAAACTGCAACAGTACAACCAAACACCTCAACTCAACAACCAGAATCAACAGCAGCTCAATGTTAATTTTGAGGGGCAATCTGTTACTGTGAGGAGATCAGAAAGAAATAAGGGTACAAACACAGTACCTGATGAGTTGAGTGAGCAGAGGTCAGCTGAGTCTGGTAGTGATAGTGAAGATGATGATTATATGCAATCAGATAGTGAAGATGACTCTGAATCAGATATTGGTGATTTCATAGAGGATGAGACAGAGGTAGATTGTCTATATGATGACATTCAGGATAAGCAATTTGAGGATTATCTAGATGGTAGTTCAACCATGGATAAGACCTACAAGAATGGAAAGATTTGGACACATCAGGAGTTTGGAGCAATCAAATTAGAGCCATGGTTGATATTTGGGGACAGGGAGTCATTTATGGAAGTTTTCAAAGACTACTGCATACAAGAAGGATTTGGTGTTTATGTTGAGAAGAGTGACAAAACAAGATATATAGCAAGGTGTGCAGTAGATGGTTGCAACTGGAGAATCCATGCTTCCACCATGACAGACAAGGTGAGCTGGGCAATCAAAACTTTAACAAGGGAGCATAGAAGTTGTGGAAGGCTGGAGCTTAACCCAGTTGTAACTTCTGAGTGGCTGTGTAGACATCTGTAGTCAGACATTCAAGCAAATCCTGACATCCCAGTTGAGTCTTTACAAAGAATTTGTATGGAAAGGTACAGGATTGAAGTTAAAAAGAGGCTCTTTTACAAGGTGAAGGCAATGTGTAAGGAGAGGCTTCATGGGGGGTTTGGAGAGGCATACTCAGTACTGCCTAAGTATGCTGAAATGGTAAAAGAGACTAACCCAGGGAACTATGCTCTGGTCAGTTGGGGTGAAGCAACTGCAAATCAACCACCAAGATTCAAGGCTTGTTTTTTTTCATTTGCTGCCCAATGTAGGGGATTCTTGAGGGGCTGCAGACCCATAATTGGCATTGATGGAGCTCACTTAAGTGGGCATTTCAAGGGAATCTTGCTGACTGCACTCGGGATTGATGGGAACAATGAGATTTTTCTCATAGCTTATGGAGTGGTACTCAACAAAGCAATGAAGAAAATACATGAGTACAATCCTAAGGCTGTTGAATACTTAGAGAGCTGCACTGAGGTTTGGTCTAGGCATAAGTTTGATCCTGCATTGTGTTGTGATCATAACACTACAAATTTTGTAGAATCATTCAACTCATGCACACAACCCTACAGAGATCTCCCTGTTCTGAGATTACTTGAAGGTAACCACACAGCACAGAAATATTAGCTTTAACACAAATGAATTCTTTGTATTGACAGTGCTGTGGCAATGTTGTATTGCACCAATAAGGCAATGGGCAATGAAGAGTATTGGCTCAAGGTTTGACAAAGCTATGGGCATGGGGGATATGGACCTAACTGAGTATGCCACAAAGGTTCTGCAAGCAAGATCAGATGAGTCTAGGCTATGCTATGCAACCCCTTGTGGTGGTGATGAATTTGAGGTTAGAGACCAACATGTGCATTTTCCCATAAAGCTAAGCAGAGGCACTTGTGGATGTGGGAAGTGGCAGCATTCAGGGATCCCTTGCAAACATGTGCTAAGGGTTATATATCATCAGAGGCTACAACCTACAGACTTTGTAGCTCCTTGCTTCAAAGGGAAGGCATACAAGCTTACTTATGCAAAGCATATGCACCCAATGCCTGACCCAAGTCATTGGCCATCAGTCAACCTTCCTGAGATATTACCACCAATGGTAAAAAGATCTGCAGGAAGACCAAAAAAGCAAAGAAAAAGAGGGCCAAATGAGGCTAGAAAAGGGAAGAGGCACTCTACAGTTAAGTGCAGCTTATGTGGTGAATTGGGGCACAACATGTTAACTTGTGCATCTAGGAAAAAAACCTCAACAGCTGAAGCAACCACATCAAAGGTCACCTCTCATCCCAAGAAGAAATCAAAGAAGGCAACAACATGAATGGACATCAACTTCCCTTCTTAATGCACCCACAGCCTGAACATTCAATGTAATTTTTTGAACATAATCACTGTAGTGTGTGGTGTGTTGTTTATTTTGACATGTCCATGTTATATTTTTGGGAAACTTATGCAAACAGTTACCTATGTTTTGAACAGGAAGCTTTTTTTGTATAAACAAGAAGCTATTTTATAGTATGGACATAATTAAATTTCCTTCTTTATTAAATTTCATTGCAAATTACATTAATCCATTTCATTTCAACATTACAATCACAATTACAGCACACATCAGTGCCCCTAATTTCATTATACAATTCAAAACTTTTTTTTGTTGCTTGATTTTCTTCTTCAATTGTTTCACTTCTTCATACAAGTTGCTTTGTGCTGAGTCATCCCTTACAAATGAGCTTCCCCTACTTTGACGTGCTTCTTGCATTTGAGCTTTACACCATTTGAAGCTATTACATGAGTCACACTTATAATACAACCTTTGTGGATTACATGTTAACTCCGAGCTTCTAATTGCATATTTCTTACCACACTTGCAAAATTTGTTTAGAACTCTAACATATGCACACTCATTTATTGAGGAAGATGTGTTTGATAGCAAACTCGTGATTAGATAACAAAGGACTGCCTTTGTGTGTTCTTAGGGACGAATTTATACAAAAAAAAAGGGTTGCAACGACTAGTTTTCCCCCAAAAAAAATTAAAATATGTTACAAAAATAACTAGCCGTTGCAACTCATTAAAACAGAGGGGTTTTGTGTAAAACCTGATAAAGTAATGACATTTGGTGAAATATATAAACTCTTCAGTGGCGTTTCATGAAATAAGTTTTGCAATAACGGACTGTTAACGTCCAAACCTCATTAATGACACGTCATGTCATTATACTGTTTGTGAGTGGCATTTGGTGAATTTCCAAAGTGCTCAGTGACATTTGGTGAAATAGCTGTATTATTAATATATAATTGAAAAATTAATGGTCAAACTCGTCTCTATATGCGTATTTGATCAAAATGTAACATATATTAAAACACGCTCCTCCCCCATTTTCCCTCTCTCTCCTCGTTAAGCTCCATTTTACTCTAAATTTTCCATTGAAGCGGCAGCTTTCTCTCCTCCATTGAAGCAGCTCCTAAGGTAAGTTGTTCTTTTTATTCTCTATTCACAATGTTGATTTAATGGTTAATTTTGTTGCCATTATAGTCAATTTAGGGTTCTTCTAAAGCAAATTATTGAACTATTACTTATAATCACTGAAAATTTATAATTACAAATATTGTTCCTAGATTATAGTCAATTTAGGGCTCTTCTAAGGTAAATTGTTGAACAATTGGTTATTAATTTAATTACTGAGATAATGACAAATTTCGTTGCTTGAATTCTGCTATTCATATTTTAAGTGGAAAGAATTTAATTTGATAGTTGAGTCAAATTTGATGGATAATGTGTTGCAGAACCCTTTAATGCTAATGTGGAACTATGAAAATGTAAATTTTCTCCCTGGGCCGAGGGCTGCTGCCCCCGACTCAGGGACGATTGGGAACAACTAGGGAAATGAAATATACTTCCTCCGTTTATTTTTAGTTGCAACAATTTCTCGAGAAATTATATATAGGTTGTTGTTGTAACTTTGGCAGAAAATCTGAGGTTAAATATATGTGTTGCAGATTAGTCTGTAATAGATAATTTGTTCAAGTGAGTAATGTCAGTGAGGTGGCCAAGGTTACTGAATCCGACTCAGCTCGCACAGATTATACGACAGCAGAAGAATCCGTTTACTGCTTTAAAGATCTTTAATGAAGCCAAAGCCAAGTATCCCAATTATCGTCACAATGGTGCTGTCTATGCCACCATGATTAATATACTCGGGAGCTCAGGTCGATTTGATGAAATGAAGGAAGTAATTGAACAGATGAAAGGCGATTCGTGTGAGTGCAAGGATGCAGTCTTTGCAGGTATAGTTAAGACGTATGCAAAAGCTGGATTGCTTGATGATGCCGTTTCTTTATTCAGAAGCCTTCCTCAATTTAATTGTGTGGCTTGGACTTCATCTTTCAATACACTTTTAGAGATTATGGTGAAGGAGTCTAGGCTTGAGGCTTTCTATCGTCTTTTTAAGGAAAATTCTCGTGGTTGGGAAGTTAAGTCTAGGATTGGATCGTTGAATTTGCTAATGGATGCTCTGTGTCAGATTAAACGCTCTGATTTAGCACTGGAGGTTTTTCAAGAGATGAACTATCATTGTTGTTATCCTAACAGAGAAAGTTATAGGATTCTTATGAAAGGCCTCTGTCAAGATGGCAGACTATATGAGGCCACTCATTTGTTGTACTCTATGCTTTGGAGGATTTCTCAGAAAGGTTGCGGAGAAGATATAGTAGTATATAGAATTTTGTTAGATAGCCTATGCGAGAATAAACAGATTAGCGAGGCTTTAGAAATTCTTGGGAAAATTTTGAGAAAGGGTCTCAGAGCTCCCAAGATTCGCACCAAACTCAAAGATCTTAGCCATCTTCGGGATACTGAAGACATAGGGCAGGCTAAGCTTTTGATCAATGAAGCTTTGATTGGAGGTGCCGTCCCTAGCTCAGCTAGTTACACTGCTGTGCTTACCGATCTCTACAATGAAGGTAAAATTTCTGAGGCTAACAAAGTGCTTGATAAAATGCGTGAAAAGGGTTACCGACCATCACTGAGAATATACGAGTCAAAGGTATCAGCATTGTGTATGGCTGGTAGAGTTGATGAAGCTGGTCAGATGATAGAAGAGGAAATGCTGAAGAAGGATTGTGTACCAAATTCTCTGGTTTATTGCATTGTTGTAAAAGGTTTCTGTGATGAGGGAAAAACAAATTTAGCCATCAGCTTTTTGGAAAAGATGGATAGGCAGAAAGGTTGCTCACCAGACAAGGAGACGTTCAGTGTTATTGTTAATAGATTGTGTCAAGATGGGAAATTTGTTGAGGCCAGTAAGATTATGGAAAAGATGTTGAGTAAATCTTTTTGGCCTGAGTCGAATACTTTTAGTGCTGTTATTAGAGGTCTTTGTTCAGTAGACAGAATTTATGAGGCTGTAATGTGGTTGGAAGAGATGATCAGTCAGGGTAAGATACCTGAGTCTTGTATATGGAGAGTATTAGTAGCTTCAGCTAGTTGTAACACAGAAGAGATTCGTGATTGCATTGATTTGCTGGATTATCTGAGAACTTAATTCTTTGTCTTAGTACAACTTTATAAAGTATAGAATTCTTTCAGACGGTCCAATTAATGTAAAACCTGCTGTAGACTGCAATTATACAGGATTTCAGATGGATATTTACAAAGTCCAAGGAATCTCGGTCCAATGAACATCACAATAATGAGAAAGACCCTGGTCTTGAAGGTTTAGCTCTAAAATTGGTTCAAGATGACCAGAATGCTAGAAATTGGTGGCAGAAGCCAGAAGGTACTATAAGTCAATTCTTCCATTTTCTGTTCTTTATAATCTGGTAGTCACTTGAAAAACTTTGATTTCATCAAAACCTTGCGCTGTAAGACCCTGTAGTGTACAATGTCAAGCATAAACAGATAGCTTTAATAATATGCTTCCAACCAATTGACCACATTGATTGTGAATGTAGCAATTTAAATAATTCTTTACTGCCTTAAAACACAGGGCGATTTCAACCTCACATCACAACACAGAGCAAAACCCTGCATTTGTGCCTAACTGTGAGCTTTCAAAAGTATAATGTCAGCTGTTGTAGGAATTATTTGTCCCTCTCAGAATTCTGGGGTCATTCTCTCTTCTAACATGAAAAAGTAAGTAGAGCAAAAACCTGATAAGATCATAGAGAGCTTAGGCTGTATGTTGAATGAAAAAGCCAACATTTGCAAGGATTTTATCAAAGAAATTAGGGGAAAAAAAAAAAAAAAAACTGATCATACTGAAGAAAACTCTGAAGAGATGATGTCTGTTTGAAGTCAGAAAATTGTAAGAACAACGAGCAGCTTGAGGATGATGATAAGGTCTACTACCTCTTTCTCCGTGTCTTTCCTGAATTAGTAATTTAGTAGGCACGTTTTTGGAATTAGTAATGGTTTATGATTTGATTTTCTAAAATGTTATTTCTGTGTTGGCAGTGTTGCTGTATTTAAAGGATGATGAAAGCTTAATCAATCAGAATCAACAACTTCTTGGGAACATTGATATTTCAGCAGAAGAAGGTAATAAACAAGTTTAGCTAGTTGTAACACAGATGAGATTTGTGATTTTATTGTTTGCTGGATCATCTGAGAACTTAAATCTTTGTCTTAGTACAAATGTATCAAGTATAGAATTCAATTAAACGGTCCAATTTAATGTAAAACCTGCTGTAGATTGCAATTATACAGGATTTCAGATGGAAATTTACAAAGTCCAAGGAATCACTCATCATTGGCTCAGGTGAGTGTTTTATCAAAAGATGTGTGACATCAAATTTCAAATTACATTGAAAAGGAAATGAAACCTAAATTTCTAAATTTTATGTAATAGTAAAAGGGAAATCAATTATCATTAGAAGAACCTCTTCCTCCTCCACTTCGTCCCAGGCTATGGAGAAATGGAGGAAGAGGATGGATGTACAAGCAGGATGCAACTACCCTAAAACCAAATTTGAACTCAAAGGTTGTTTCAACAATGTCAAGTCCACGAAGGAGATGCTGATCGAGTAGTTTGGGTTGGAGAACGATCACATCGAGGTCTTGATTAATAAGCCAAGATCTGTAACTTGCCTACGGGTGTCAACATCCAGACTGCAACAGGACTTGGACGTGAAGCTGTTATCTATGCATAGGGGGAGGCGCGAGAGGATAAGCTACTGGAACAGCGTAATGAGGAGGAGGATGATGGTGGTGGTGATGATGAGGGTGACCAGGAGGAGGGAGCATAACAGGAGTCCCAACAGCGGATGCCATATGATGAGGTGGCGGTGGTGCTGCAGTAACTGGGTGGCCTATCTGTGTCCCATACATTCCTATACCTGCAGGCGCCATATTTACATTAGGCGGAGGCCTATGCTTATTTGCTGCTACTGCTGCTGTTCCAACTGCAGGAGCCACAGAAGTGTTGTTTTGCTGCCCTGTAATGGGTGTTTGATTCGGCGACAACCCTCCTCCATTTACACTTGTAATATCATGAATGCTAGATCTTCTTCTATCCCTGTTCATTGAGTTCAGTCTTATAAAATACTTTTGGGCATGGCTAGCTACTTGTGTTGGTGTCCTTGTTATCACAAAGTTCCTAGATATGCTTCGCCAATCGCCTTTGCCGAACTTGTCAAGTCCAAGTAAAAATAATCTGAAAACAGGGGATTTTAACATGCATTAGTGTAATATTCGAAGTATGATTTAAGAATCAAATATACATATACACATTCAAATTTGTTTTAAAAAATGATTTTTAATTGAAAAACAATCTTTATCTCCATTATTGTAGGAAAATAGGCAGAGCTTTTCTCTCTCTCTCTTTACTACCATCACTAACTCACTAAGCCCACCATTGACACTGCTGGCCAAAAGAATGAAACCCAGAAAACGACTTACCAATACAATCAACTATTGCCCTTGTTTTACGACGGATGCCCAGTTTATCACCTTGATATATTATTATCCTATTAGAAGGTATTATCGATACATAATAAAGAGATAAACTTCAAGTCCCCCCTAATTATACAATAAGCTCAAACAAAGCATTCAGATCTAAGCAACCAAGGTCCAAACTATACCAATTTGTCACCCAACATACAAGAAAACCATAATTTGAGTTTAAATCAATCGCATTATAAGAGTATAAACACTTATACAAGGTTTAAATTATGTAGTTTAGGGTCGTTTTTAAAATAAAAGGTCACTCGTGGGTAGTTTTTGATTAAAAATCCTTAAAAAAGAAAGCGAAAAAAATAGAAAATAAATAAAGGGTCATACACATAGTTATTAATAGTACATTAAGTAATACATACCTATGCTCTTCTTCAGTCCAAGGGATGCCCTTTTTTCGTTCTTGTTCCAACTTAGAGTTAGCTTTTGTGGTATTATTTCCCATTGAGGAAGGCCCGAAAGCCGAATACCCGTTACCTTGATTTGAGTTTCCTCTTTGGTCCTTGTTAAAAGAAGGGTGTTGATTATCCTTAGTATTAGAAGTTGATAATGTAGTAGTAGTAGTAGTATCCTCACTTCCATAATTAGGAAGTGGTACTTTTCCTGCCTCAATAGCACCTACATCCTCTACTAGGAACTCATAGTGTTGCTTAATCTCTTCAATTGTTTTCGTAGGAACCATGGACGCGACCTTATCCCACTCCTCATTCGATTTGTCGATAGAATGTGTAGCAATCGCGTTCTCAAACGCCTTCTCCTCCTCCCTAGTCCATGACACTAAATTCGGCATTGCCTATAAACTAAGTAACTATTATGATTTTTGTTTCGAGTACGATTTTTCGAGTATTTTATTTTTGTTGTAATGGGTCTAGTTTAGTCTAGTGCAATAATGGAAGAAGGGGTGTATCATTGAGATAAAGAAAACAATAAGATTTTCACAAAGAAAAAAACAGGATAAGAAAGTGAGGTGAGCATCAAACCAACAATAAGATGGGGGGACCTAAAATTATTAAGGGAGGGTTGAAAAGCATATGGTGCGAATTTTGTAAGGTTGTTACCAATTTACAAATGTGTACAAAAAAGTGATGTACACCCTTTGGGTTTTGTGATTGGTTGCCAAGTTTTTCACTCATGAAATTATGGGAATTGGTGGGGACACTTTCTCAACTCACTTGGAGAATCTATGGGACAGTCATTGTGTCATCACCATTCAATTTTTTTGCATCGGTTAGTGTCATAGTCATGCCCATTTTTATCACTATAGTGTTCTCTCACTCACTACCTTTGGAATTCGGGTTATCGGTCGGGTTTGAGTTGGGTGTACCAGATTGAGTCATGTCAAATTTGTGTCGTGCTAATGGCTAAGTTATTATGCATTAATACCTATGTTCAAGTGCTTGATTGGATTGGACTTGCTGTTTCATTTTTCAAACCTCTACTCTTCGGTTGTTGTGGCACTTTTAGGAAAATATGATAAACGATAGTAGGTAATAAAAAATATAAAAAATAAAAAAAACGTTAATGGTAATAATACTACATATATACCTTTTTTTTTTTACTCTATTTCAATTGCAACTTGAAAGGATGTACAATTTTTTAAGGAGCAGAAAAGGTTAAAGATTGATACAAGAACGGTAAATAAATTAACAATTCAATGGTTTATATAACTTGTTAAATAGTAGTAATACGTAGTATAAGTATTTGTATGTTGTAATTAAAAAGAATGGAAATGTTATTAGTGGTAAATTGGTAATTAAAGGCCAGTACATAGTTTTGTCAAGAAATTTGCTGTTTTGTTTTCTGGTTAAAAAGTTAGGTAAAGTTAAGAGATTGAGACTAGTCTAAAAATTGACTTTTCAAGCTTAAAAAAAGCCCAAATCTTGAATATATTGCCTAAAATTTGATTAGGCCCATGCAATATAATGAACGTTGGATTTTGATCTGTTCTTTTTGGATTGAGTCATGTCCGGTCAATGTATGATATGTATCCATGAACACAGGTTGAAGCTGGTCGTTTATCTAGATTTTCAAGCTGAAATTGAGTTTAATTAGGGTCGTATGAAATCAGAATTGAGTTGTGCGTTTTAGAATGGTTCAATCTAGGTTTGGATACGAAATCAAATTGGGCAATTTTTGGGTTGATTCATGTTCGAATCAAAACCTTCTAAGGTGAGGTAAATTTTGGAATTGATTGTTATTCGTTATGGTTGTCATGTTCGAAATTGATTAATTTAAGGGTTGCTTATCTTTTTAGAGTTTAATTAAGTTTTATTCAAATAATCCAAAATAAATGTCTCATACTCTCATGTGTTTTATCAAGTTGGTTTGATATTTTGAATTAATCAGATTAGCTTTGGCTTGTAGTTTCCACTTTTTTCTTTTCTTTTTCTTTTTCTTTTTAAAAAAAAAAAAACATTTTGGTTAATTTGAAACTCAATTATCAGTTATTAGTTATAAATACTACCAAAACATTTGTATGATTATATATTTGCATATACTCTTGTAATTTCAGTATTTTGTCAAGTCAATAACAAGTCAAGTTCAATTCAAGTCAGGTTAATTACAAGTATCGAGTTCATGCAATTAAATTGAACTGGGTAAATAACAGGTCATAAATTAGATGGATATTTCCTTCGGTGATGTAATCATCTATGAGTATATGCTCGTGTACATGCTGCATTCTTTAAAATTTTATCCATTTTGAAATGTTTCAAATGCTTTAGAATCACCATATTCTAAATTTGCTTAATTGTAACAAAATATTCACATTGGCTCTTATCCACTTTGCTCAACTTTTGTCAAAAGTCAACTGTAGAAAACGTAACAAAAATGAGAGATCTCTAGTTCTCTACAAGAAAGTATGCCCTACCTCTTAAATGAACTAAACACACATGACCAAATAAGGACTTGTGATTTATATACGTATTATGTAGTATATATGCAAGTACTCCCTTCATTTTTAAATGCTTGCTTCATTTCTCTATGCGCGGAGTTTTAGGAGAAATTGGAGAAAATAATAAAATATGGAGGTAGTACCGTAGTAGTGTAGTTGAAAGAATAAAAAATTGTAAAAAACCAAAGTAGGGGGAGAATAGGAGGAGAAAGAGTATTATGTTGGGTCCACTAAATGTGAGAAATGAATTAAATATTGTAAAAGCGTTCTAAAAAGGGAAATAGAGCAAGTATTTAAAAACGGTTGGAAAAGAAAAGTGGAGCAAGTATTTAAAAATGAAGGGAGTAGTCTAAGAAAAATGGACTTGTGATCTCTCCATGACCAAATTGAAGACTTGTGATTCATATATTGGTGCGCCATTGGCATGAAAATAGAACAATGTTTTTTTTTTTTGGTGTTTAGAGAGCCACAAGGGCGGGGGTAAGAATCGATCCCAGGATCTCCTGAAATCGAGAGGGAAGCTCTAACCACTTGAGCTATCCCTCACTCTCAAATAGAACAATGTTAAGCGTGTGTTATATTTTCTTGATTTTCATTTATTTAAGGAAAATTTTTAAATTACCACCCTAAAATGTATCCATTTTCTAAATAACCACTCGTTTAATTTTTTATTTTATTTTACCACCCCTTAAATTAAAAAACTACTCAGATTACCACCCATTTTAAAATTCAAGTGGATTTTTCTTATGTGGGCCCCACCCAACGACTCTTAGTGATGAAAGGAAGAAGATGATCAGTAGTAGTGCAATTCAGACATCATGCTCTTGGTTTTTTTAGTTGTTTTCTTTTGGTTTTAGATTGTCTTGTACTCAATAAATTTGGTTTAAGGAGGAGGTTGAGTGAAGACATGGCTGATTGTAATCCTTAGACATAGCCGTTACCAGCCATTGGGTGGGTCCTCACAACAAAATTCCGTTGGAATTTTAAAATGGGTGATAATCTGAGTAGTTTTTTAATTTAAGGGGTGGTAAAATAAAATAAAAAATTAAACGGATAGTTATTTTAAAAATGAATATATTTTTGGGTGGTAATTTAAAAATTTTCCTTTATTTAAACTCATCTAAAGAAATTAGTACTTTTTACTTTTTATTAATCTTATATAAACTTGATTTTCTTGAAATAAATTTATTAATTATTTATCTGAGTAATTTATTTATTTTTAAAATAAGTTACAGACTAAATCTTCTCCATATATAATGATCATATACCTAATTTAAATTTTTTTAGATTTCGATATACCTAATTTAAATCAAATTAAATTAAACTATTAACATAACAATAAACTCGCTAGTGGACGACAATTCAAATAGACAGCACGTAACGTGTAAAAACTGTTATTTTGCCAAACCATTTGGTCTACATTTGTCCCATACGGGCGATACGGCCATACATTATACATAGTCTACTTTTCTTTCACTCAACTCGATCAATTGGTAGAAGAAAAATGCTTTACTTGTATTTTCTTTGACGGAAATTATGCAGTCACACAAATTAATTCCCATTCATTCCAAATTTAATGGTAACTTATATAAACGAAAATATTTAGCTAACTTCTCAAAATCATACCAAGTAAGTAATGATTTATGATTAATTTTTGAGTTTGCCAGCAAATGATGGCGAGATGACAAAATCTATGTAAAATTGCAAATATATGAAATATTGATCTTCTTTGTATTGATACCTTATTATGATGGTTGCAAACAATCCGGGCTGAACCGAGTTTTAGTCTGTTCGAGCTAAGCTTGATAAAAATTATTCGTGTTTGAACTATTTTGAGCTTGAACAAGCTTTTAAAAATCTTGTTCGAAATGAGCTCATTAAGAATTTAATTGGCATGTTCAAGCTTTGTTCACGAACGTACTCGTTTACATTTCGAGTTTAAGTTCAAGCTTGAACAGGCTTAAATCGAGCTTGATTAAATAAACGAGCCATAATTTATCCTTTACAAAGAGTTTTTTTTTTTTTTTTTTACTACAAATTTTAACACATTTATTTAATTTGATATAAGATGTTTATATTCTTTCTATAGAGAAGGTAATTACAAAGTTTTTTATGCCTTTACATGATGAAATAATTAGTACTTTTTACAAATATGTATGAATAAAAGATATAAATTATCCGAGTTTTAAACCGTGAAAAACTTATAAATGGACTTAAACGAGCTATTAATGAAGATTATCGAGTCGAACATAATGTTGTTCAAGCTTTGTTCATCTATTTGACGAGCTTAAGATTTTTTATTCAAGCTTGTTTGTTAGCTTACCAACGAGTTTTGACCAAGCTTGTTCGCGAGTAGTTCACAAACGACTCAGATCATTTACACCCCTATACCTTATATAGTAATTGAAATTTATGATTAGTACAAAGAATCACTAACTAATTCCGAACAATGGAAGTACAAAATAATGAATGAAATTAAATAATGCCGGCTTTAGCTTACACGCAAACAATTAGCTTCATTCTTCCAATAAAAACCACCTCATGACCTCACTCATAGAATGGGCAATAATTTTAGCTCAATTAGTTACCACTACTCTCTAGATGGATGTCAAGTATTCAACATGCATGGGAAAAAAACAAGCAAGGCTTTTAAGTCGATACTAAATTTAGGTAATTGAGTAACTGATTACATAATCAAATCATCCATTTTAGGTGATTAGTAATAGAGTGTTCACTTGTCCAACAAATTGTTATAGCTTCTACTTCATGCTAAGCTAACCTACCATAACTTGCATAATTATATAATAAGTGTATATATTGCAATTACAAGTTATGATCATCACATTGAAAAAAAGGAGAAAAAAAATCAACAAATTAAAGAAACATTATTATTTTTTCCACATTTTGTTGAACTTGTTTAAGACTTGGTCATCATCAATTGTTAGTCATGAAGGCAATTAATGGGAAAAGAATGGCAGTGTTGGTAGGGTGCAACTATCCGAACACGGAATATGAGTTGCAAGGTTGTTTCAATGATGTAATCGCCATGAAACATATGCTTATTAAGAGGTTTGGGTTCGACGAAAAGGATATCGAGCTACTTAGTGATGAAGAAGGCTCTTCGGTCTTGCCTACTGGTGCTAACATTAAGAAAGCACTCGGAAACATGGTTGATCGCGCTATGGAGGGTGACGTGCTCTACTTTTATTATAGTGGTCATGGGACGTTGATCCCTTCTTTGAAGCAAAATGAGCCTCATAGAAAGGATGAAGCTATTGTGCCTTATGACTTTAATCTCATCACAGGTTAGTTACTTTTGCATCATGCATGCAAGCGTGCTCATTCTTAAGATAAAAAAAATATATATATAATCTAATTGTCTCGTACTCTCGTGATTACATGAATTTCAAAACAAAGAATAAGCTAGAAGAGATCGAGAATGCTATTATATAATCATGTTAAATTCTTAAAACACGGTACAGAGTAGTAATGTGACAATTAATTTTGAATAGATCGGTAATATTGAAAACATGCTTTTGTAGACGTGGATTTCAGGCAACTAGTAAACAAGTTACCTCCTAAGGCAAGCTTCACAATTCTCTCAGACTCATGCCACAGTGGAGGCCTAATAGACCAAGAGAAGGAGCAAATTGGGCCGACAACAACAGCATCAAAGGGTCAAGCTTGACGTTCACGGCCCAAGTTCATCCCATATGACCAAGTCCTCCAAAAGCTCAAACAACTCACAAGCATAGACACCTCTAACATTGGCAGACATTTGAAGGAACACTTCAAAGACCAAGCTAGCCTTAACTTTTGCCTTAGTGAACTTGATCAAGATCATCTAAGCCTCGAACGAGCAACCAAGGGCGACTATGGAATTTTGCTTAGCGGGTGCCAGTCTAATGAGACTTCAGCAGATGTGAGCTCGGAGGAAGGCGAAGGTGGGGAGGCCCATGGAGCATTCAGCAATGCAGTTCAGAAAGTTCTGGAGCAGAATTCGGGACGGCTTAGCAACAAAGAGGTTGTTATAATGGCTAGGAAAGTGTTACAAGAACAAATGTATAAACAACATCCTTGTTTGTACTGCAGCGATAAGAATGCTGATGCTACTTTCCTGCTGCAATTATAGAATCATAGGTATATAATGTATATCTGGCAAGTCTAATACAATCATGTCATAAAATTACATATATAAGCTCATTAATACAGGAAGATTAAGATTTGTAAATAATTAGTATGTCAATAATTATTGTACAAACTTGTTTGTTACTTACAATAATATGTACTTGTTATGTTAAAATTCATTGCTCCTCTGATCCTGTCAATGATCTTAATCCCTAATACTTCCTCCGTTAGTTTTTATCGCTTTATTTAGACAGCGATTCTATCTCTCTCTCATCATATGATTCCCACACTCCCCCTGTCTCTTTAACTATACTAGGACACTACTATGGTTGACGGAGGCTCCGTCCCTGAGACCCAACCCTGAGGCCTGGAGTTCATTTTATAGGCATTCCATCACACGAGACGAGGATCCGAAGGGCACGAATACATCCCAAGTTTCCATACAGGATTATAATTTTAAATGCCAATAAATACATACAAAGTATGAATTATAAATAGAGCATAAACAATTTTATTGAGGGTGTTGACTTAACAACTTGCCGAGGACAGCAAGTACATTCTATCAGTTCTTCCTCTTATATTTTCTCCCTTGTCATCAATCCTTTCCATTATTCCTTGCCAAAATTGGATTGTTTATCATAAATCCTGTTGTTTCTATAGTGAAAAGTTTACTAGAAACTGAAGAATATGAAAGCAGAACGGCAATTCCGTCGATACAGAAACTAGAACCAGAATGCAAGAAGATAAGCAGGGATTTGTACTGGAAAAAGGTTTACTTTTCTTCTATCTTATTAGCTTAATATAGACTTTATAGAGTTGATCATAACTAACTCAGTTTGGTTTGTGATAATGAACCTATTGGAATAAGGCTAACTTATATACCTGAACTGTGGCTCACCCTGATTTTACTACTTTACTAGGCCAATATCTCTATGCTTCTCCTAGGCCTTGGCATGTCCCATGATTAGCTTGAATATTCCATTTCCGCTAAATGTACTTTGATATTGTAACTTACAGACAGATCAATATATAGTAACCCACAAATTAAACTCACAAAGATCAAAGCTCGAAAAACTGAAGCAGCAGGTAAATCAATGGAACAATGCACTAGAGGAGGAGCAACAACTAGTTACACCCGATACACTAGTAATTACTGATTATCCTTAATACTACGTAATTAAGTTAGTTGACCTTTTTCTTCAACTAGTTACACTCATTAATGATACATTCTGTATTGGTACGATAGAAGATGCAGCTTCATAGCTTGCATCATAAACTACGACACAAAAGTGGCAATCTATCTTCGGAAAGGGCTATACTAAGAGACTTAACACAGTTTCTGAAGGCAAAGGACATTCCCAAAGAAAAAACTACCAAAAAAGTGGAAAGCCCAATGTACACTGAAGAACTAGTAGAAAGTATTCATAGCAACATCAAAGTAATAAGAAAAAATTCTCTCTACTATGTTCTTAAACTTATATTCTTCAAAACGTCTGTTGAATAGATTCAATATTGCCAACATATTCTCACCTGATTTTTTTAAATTTTTTTTTTAAAAATCTACTTACGTGGGCTGCTACTTCTCGGTCTTTGCTACTATTACTGTAAATACGCAGTACATCAGAACTGTAATTGACAGAACTTGGGAACAGTATATGGTTAAACAACACAGGGTCAACCAGCTAGATAAAGAGGAAAATATGCTAGGCAGGCGTGTGAAATTCCTGGAGAGGAAATTAGCAAAGATTTATCTAAAGATAGAAGCCAAATCAGATGGTTCAAATGTATTATGCAAATAGTTCAAAATTATCAAAACTTGTATCATCAATAAACTTGATTGATTCTAGTCGAGTTGAAGTATTGCAGTCTATACTCTATAAACTACGCATATATTTTATCAGTAATTAAAAAAAAAAAAATCTTATATACCGAACTTGGATATCCTGTTGTGCAAAAGCTTTGTGAGAACGAGGATACATAGCGCCACAGCGGGGCCTGTGTAGTCGTGCAGAGCACCATGTTTCCTTAGGCTCAGCCTCTCACCCTTGGATAATTTAGTACTGTAAATTGTGTTGTTAGATTGCCAACTGGTTGCCCAATGATGCAAGAAAATTCTAGGTTCTATTGAAAGTGACCTCTCACCAGACAACGCTTCAGCCTGCAAGAATTATCACCCCAAAAATTAGCAAGAAATATTTATTAGTTTCATGTAAAATAATGTGGATGGATAAGATTGCAGGTTGAGAATATGAACTGGTATAAACATTTTGACCCTCTTAATTACTTCTCTACTATTGGAAGGCATGAAAATTTAAAAGTACTCCGTAGTATAATAAGGACTCCCTTCGTCTGGAATCAATAGTTCAATAACTCGTAGCATGGCAACTAAATCCAAACAGAGGTGGTACAGTATAGAATTAGAAAAATTAAGGTACTCGAGGTAAGCCAGGTGCACGAAATAAAAAGAAAAATGACTAGTCAATGATGTGCCATCATATAAATCATCAAGAATATTCATAGCATTAAATGATTCTTGATGAAAACATCCAATATAATAAAATAAAAACAAATAAAAAATGTTGTGCTACATTAATAATATTGGCTTTATAAGATTAGTCATTTTCAAGAAATGTATTTGTTGGCATTATTGAGGAGAAAGTTGGGAGAGCTACATCCAGTTGATTGAAACTTAAGTAATAATTAAGCAATATTTTAAAAATACATAATGTATTAACTTAGTCCAACAAGCTAATGATTTAATATGTGTAAGTTTCTTTGACCACAAATATAACTTGGATAAGTTTCCTACACATCCTAGTCGTCCCTAATATGTATAAATATATACATAACAACTTTAAACATCCAACTTATCATCTAAAATGAATCAAAGTCAGAAACAGGAGGAAATTATAGTCCCTGAAAAGGAGGTTCAACAGCTTCAGCAGTGCCTTCCAAAGGCGAACTTCATCGGAAGCAAAATTTGGAAATACCAAGGTTACTGGTACCATGACAATCATCTCCAAAATGTCCTCGAGTTTCAAAGACACTTCCAAGCTCGAGACACTGATCTCATCATTGGTAGCCTCCCTAAAACAGGCACCACTTGGTTGAAATCCCTACTATTTGCGGTTGTTAACCGTGTCAGCTACTCCGCAAATCATCACCAAAATCCACTCCTTCAAAATCATCCTCATGAGCTTGTGTACAGCTTGGAGACTGATGTCTATAATAAGGCCTTTGTTTATCCTCGTCCACATCACCTTAATGAGCTTTCCTCACCGAGACTTTTGAGCACACACCTACCCTATGTGTCACTTCCTGAATCTATTCAGACTTCTGGGTGTCGGATTTTGTACATCACCCGAAATCCCTTGGACACACTTGTTTCTCTATATTATTTTTCCATAAAAGTGATGAAGAACTACTTTTCCACGGATATATTGAAGATGATACTTGGTATGTTTTACCCTACTCCTACCATGCAGGATTTCTTTGAAGCTTTTTGTGAGGATAGAATCCCTTTTGGGCCATTCTTCGATCATGCTGTCGGATATTGGAAGGCAAGTTTAGAACACTCTGACAAGGTGCTATTCCTCAAGTATGAGGAATTGAAGGATGATCCCACAGTTCAGCTGAAAAGATTGGCTGAATTTGTGGGTATGCCATTTACTTCCCAAGAGGAAAGTGATGGTGTCATACAGAAAATTATAGAGATGTGTAGCATCAAGAGTATGAAAGAATTGGAGGTTAACAAGAGTGGTGTAATTAACAAGTTGTTTGACAAAGACTCGTACTTCAGGAAAGGCGAGGTGGGGGACTGGACTCATCATTTCACACCTCCCATGGTGGAGAGGATGAAGAAACTAATGGATGAAAAACTTGAAGGCACTGGTTTATCCTATAAATTAACTTCCTGATATCAATTCTTAATTTACTTCAATAATTGTCCTGTATTTTTTCTTTTCTTTTTTTTCAAATTTCCTGGGGTCTTATTCCTACTATTTTATATGAAATTCTCTAATAATGTATTTGCACAGTCTTTTAATTTCCTTACCCTTTGTTTATCATACTGACAGTGCTATACTCCAATTATACGTGTTAATGCTCCTGATTTTCTGAAGTACAATTGTATATAACAGTTGATAATTTCAACAAGTAATTACTAGTCAGGATTCAACATCTAAGTAGATCAATCTGTAATTACCAAGGAGTCAAGAGCTCATCCTAAAAACAGCACTTATCGTGTCAGATGTATATTAATGGAAACCAAACTTCATGATGCCACAAATACCATTCTCAGAGCAGTTAACACAAATTGTCAAAGCTACACTAAAACTAGACGATTTATTTGCTAAAATTAAATTTCTATAGCCATGAGCAATTGAGCAGAACTCACCAAGCAACAGCAGGCGACCTTAAGCAGTTTGACCCATGAAAGTAATAGGAGCATTGTCATCACTGCAGTCAGGCACGGATGCTAAGCAAATTTTTGTAGCTTCAACCTGTCCCTTACCAGTATGAAGGATGGTGGTTGCTTATTGTTCACATGCTTAAATGAACAGCATCAGTAGGTGCCCCAAAGACTACTCCAACAACCTATTTGGCCATACCCATTGAAATCTCCTCTGCACTCAAAGGAACCGCTTAGCAGCAGGCTCGTATCTGAATGGTACAATTTAAGTCATCAAAAGACAAGATTGTCAGCAATTTGTTCTTGTGCAATGCGGAACCTCAACAGCAATTTTCCCAAAAAAACAAACAATAACAACAACAGGTTTCATCATCTACGAAGGATATTTCAGAAACAGAAAGAAACTCATGATGACAATCTTCTTTCTTCACAGTAGGGGGAGCAGAAGGAGAATTTTCTTTTTGAGGGACTATCAATCAAATATAAATGTAAAGCGAGTATGCATAAGTTAATTAAACATATACACATACCAAAGATAAGGTTGAAATCATTGTGCAATTCTTTCCAACAATTTGTCACCATCTTCTGAAGGAATTTGTGTACAATGACCACTGAAGTGGAAAAACAGGATATCCTCATATTTTTCCCACTGGAGCATCAGATTAAGGCAGCTCTGATGTGGCACCTGCGGACATGACAGGAGGGTAGAATCAGATGACTTGTTGGTCAAACCCAATTGACATTCTAGTGACATCATTGATGGGGCAATGCAATTTGTTTTGACACTAGGATAGGTAAACCCAGCAAAAAAGTCATCTTCTTGAATTCTTTATACATTTTAAGATTAAGTGCAGCTTTTGCCCCTTAAGACTAACTTCTTTTAATAGGCTGCGGATCAGTAATAGAGGCATTACATTATGTCATTCACCCAGACTCCCAGCAGCTACTGAAATACAATATCCAAGCACATCAGCATGGGCAACTGAGCTTCTTTCAATGCAACTTTGCCCATAGCAAGAAACAACTCCAGATATGAAGTAAATACAACCTTCCGTGGAAACAAAGATCAGGAAAAGCAAAATGCACATGAGATTCATATGGAGTAAACAAGAAAAATATATAAATACCCCCCACCAAAATTACAAGGGATCATGATGAAATAAGGAACTAATATCATGACAATAAAAAGTAAAGAGGCACAAATCAGGTCTGCAACAGCAGTGACTCTCATATGCAAAATTAAAATTACAACTTGTATCTAAAAGAAAGAGAGTTCTTACCTGTAGCAGACTAGTGTTATCATCATTTTTCACAGATTTCTCCTTATCTGAATACTCAGGTTTCTGCTCATCCTTCTTAAGACTGCAAACCAAGTCGTCTAACAGCAATAAAATAGTGGTATCTTATACATTTCCCCTATCCATCACATCTCTTTTAGCTTTGTTCGAAGATGAATTTCAAGAGAGAATGATGAGGCCTTATGTTCAAAGTGTTTACTCAATCCCCCCATACCAAAGTAATAAAGCTTAAAATATAACAGCACAGTAGAATACTTGCATATTCTAAAACAACATTATGACTCTAATTTCTAATGCAAGTAAACTGGAAGGCACAGCCAAAGCATTGATTGAACTGGTAAATATAATCAGTTATTACATGCCTAAATTTATAGACTGTATGTTCTTGATCACGATTGTCATGATGAATATCGCAGCAACAGGCTACAACATACAAGCAATCATGAAATTAAATTGCAACTGAAAATGAAACAAGGGAGCATGGAAAAAGGTAAGATTATCATAACTCAATAAGTAAAAAGGCCTAGCTCAAGGCCACAAGAGAACCCATTCAGCGAGCAAAATCTTAACTGCAACTAGTTCCGATGGAATACATTCAAACACTACAAAATTAACAAGCTTAAGATAACTAGAGAAGAAAACAATACAGAGTAACATACAATTCTAAGGTCTATTTCCATCCAAAACTGTATTATTTTATTCTCGATCAGCATCTGTATGCTTCTTTTTCTTCTTTTCCTTCTTCTCCTTCTTTTTCTCACTTCGACTTCCATCCTCTGTATCAGCAGCAGCATCACCGTTTTCCACATCCTTGCTCTTCTTCTTTTTTTTCTTCTTCTCGGATTTCTCCTCATCAGTTGACTCTGCCTTTTCTTCTTTATCCTTCTTTTTCTTTTCCTTCTTGGACTTGGACTTCTCTACATCAGGAGTAACAGGTTCATCAGCCTCCTTCTTCTTCTTTTTCTTCTCTTTGACTTCCACAACTTCCTCTTCCTGAACTTTAATCTTCTTGACATCACCAGCAGGACTAGCATCAACCTCCTCCAATTTCCTCTTTGACTTCTTCTCCTTCTTCCCTTCTACCACCACATCTTCTGCCTCCGCTGGTTCAGCTGCAGCAGCAATGCTAGCAATCATGGAATCTCCACCAGTAGGAAGCACCACATTCCTTGCCCACTCAGCAGGAGTCTGCTCATTTGGCTTACCATGCTTGTCCAGCTTGCCCTCTGCAATCAGCTTCTTTTTCATAGAGGCCCTCGGCCCAAGCCCCCATTTCCTGGGATAAGTATCCCTATCCATAATCACCCTCTTAATCTTTGCAACAATCCCATGATCACAAGTAGCCATGACAACAGTAGTCATCTCCGCAATCCCCAAAGCAATAGCTTCTCCCTTAGTAGTCATCAAAACAACCTCCTCCCCAACCTCAACATCATTCTCAAACCTAAGCAACCCCGGAATCATCAACTTGGCACCATAACAAATTGCATTCACAGCCGAATCCTTAACAACAAGCCTCTTGTAGCTAGTCAAAACAACCTCCAACGGCATAATAACCCGCCTCAAATAACTCTCATCCCTGTAATTATCATACATCCATTGCGCATCCATCACATCATGCATTGTAACCATATTATCCTTCTCCCCCAATATACCAGACCGCACCCTCCTAAGCTCCTGCATATGTCCTCCCACACCCAACAACAAACCCAAATGAACACATAGTGTCCTCACATAGGTACCAGCCTCACAACTAATCCAGAAAACAACCAAATGCCGATCGGCATCGTACTCAAGAAGCTTACTTTCATAAATAGTCCTAATCCTAAGCTGCCTTTTAACAGCAGATATTAAAGGAGGGCGCTGAAATACAGCGCCTGTTAAGGATTCCAAAGCTCTAGCAACTTTAGCAACATCAGGAACAGCAGAATGTAATCTAGCAACACAAACATACTCTTTTCCAGCACCTTGTTGGGATTTAACTAAACGGGTTGCTCTTTCAATACAAACAATTAAATTCCCAGTAACCTTAGGATCTAAAGTACCAGAATGCCCAGTTTTTTCTACCCTTAAAATGCGCTTAATCCAAGCAACAACTTCATGAGAAGAAGGATTAGCAGGCTTATCGAGATTAAGAATACCATACCTTATGTATTCGGCAAGAGGTCGCTTCAATGGTGAATACCCAGATGAAAGAGGGGTGTAATGCCCAGTTCTAACATTCAATCTGTCGTAGTTTTTCAAGAGAATTGGCCACTGAGAAGTGTCGATTGATGGGGTGAAACTTTGGGGTTTGATTAAGAAATCAGTGTCGTTTTGGGGTTGGGAGTCTGTCGTTTTGGGGGTTTCAATGACGCTCTTGCTCCTCTTCTTCTTCTTGTCTGAGCCGACGTCCGCCATTGATGAGGTTTGGAGGAGAGTGTAGGGTTTTATTAGGGTTTTGGAACAGGAAGACGGAAATGAACATGGAGTGAGTTTTATTACTTATTTAGAGGTGATTATTGGGCGGGCTAGGGCCGGGCCCTTTTAACTGAGGTAGTAATTGTTTTTTTGTTGTTTAGAGAGGCATAATGGCGGGGTAAGAATCAATACTAAGATTTTCTGAAATCGGGAGGGAAGTTCGAACCACATGAGTTATCCCTCACTCTCATAATATAATTGTTAGTTTGAGTTTTTTCATGGTATTTAAGAAAGAGTAGAAGGTGGACAAAGTACATTAATAAAAGTGAAAAGTACAATCATAGACAAAAGTTAGAGAGAGAAAGTGAAAAAAAAAAATACTAGATATGCAAAATTCAAGGATAAATTAGGAAGTACAATGAATAAAGTTAAAAAAATGAGGGTATAATGGTCGTTACATAATACCCAAAAATAGAAATGGAAAGAACATTTTGGATCTCCAAATAAAAAAACAGGAACTATATTATGGGACAGAGGGAGTAATATTTAAATTTTTAGAAGAGCGATAATTTTGAAAATTAACAAGGGTAACTTGAAAATAATGAAATTTATCGCCCAAAAGGCTCTTTTTATTTATATACTATATTGCGGAGTATAAAGTACGGAGTACTATAGATACTTGTCCGAGGTTGCTAAAAAAATGATTTTGGGTTGGGCCCAACCTGACTTTGGGCCTAAATTTTATGTTAATGGCCCACCAAAAATCGGTACAGGTCGACAGATTAGGCTCATGTTGATTGGGCCTAGTTTTATTCCTAATATAACTCCTAAAATATCAATAACATTTGGTGTGTGAATCTCCGCGTATGCCCCTGTTGTTTGGATAGACGATTCTCTTTGTTCCAACTCCTTCCTGTCTCTTACAAGTATGGAGCGCAAAGCTTTGATCTTCAACTTCAATCCAAGTCCCGTGAAGCTCTATTCAAAGCTTAGAGTTGCAACATCAATCGATTAGGGAGATGGAAGAAGAAATTGCGCCAAATTCCAATTTCAGAGTATCTACTATTTCTTAACAGAGACCCAAATTTCCCCTCCAAATTAAGAAGTTTGATTATTTGGGTTTTGATCAAAAACTCGTAAAAATCAATTGATTTCATGGGTTGATTCTTTATTTTTAGGGTCTTATTAGTAATTAGATAGTGATTTGTATTCATATGAGTTAAATATTTATTATTAACTCTGTAATCAAAGTATCATCGTAGATTGTGAAGGCTTTCTAGTTAGAAAGATGAAAATATATCGAAAATCACTACTTGTGGATGCCTATCATGTAAAAGTTATTATTATTTTCTCTAAGTATGTGATTTACAAATCTTTAACATAGAGTATTATGGTAGATGTCATATGGTCATTCGATATTATTCTTATTCCTTGTTCAAAAAAAAAAAAAAAGATAATAATAACATTTAATTTTCAGGTATATCTTTTAAAAATTGTCTCTGAATTTATAATTATATACCATTGGTACATAGATTATGTGCTACACAATGTTTAGACAACACCAAAACTTAAAACCCATGAATTTGTACAATTTCTCTACTTAATATTGTGATCCTTTCTATAAAAGACACTGAATATTATATGAAAAAACAATAAGCTATACAAGTTATTTTACAGCAAAAATTAAGTGGTAATTAGAAACTATTGCTGCTAAAGGTTTGCCCAGGATATGTTGCCTTCTGAAACTTCATCCAACCTTTGTAAGTAACGCGAAGGAAGCCATCCTGTCTTACCATTGCATTGGAGGCAAACAAAGCACCACACAAAAATCAAGTTGTTAATCAATAACCATTACAGTAATATGCATGACTACATGTGCGAAGTGACTGATATTAAACCACCACCAATTGAAGAACATACCTGCTGCACCACAACAGTATCACCAACTAGTAGACTCAACTCCCCTTCGGCTTGAGCATCGAATGGGTGTACAACCTGTGAAATAGAATAGATTAAACAAAGAACACATCAAAGGAAAAAAAAAAAGCTTAGGGAAGAGCCGGAAGACACAGCCTAAAATGAACATATATAGTTTTAAGTTTTTGACAGCAGAATATATAATCTAGTAAGTTAAACTTTGAACTTTCTCACATTATCTTTACTGAAACCCAATCAAGAATTCTAGATAGAAAAAGTTTGTTGAAGATGCAGTTCGCAGAGCAGTTAACGCATTTGTCAAAGCTTATGCTAAAACTAGGCAATCTATTTAACAAAAATAAAATTTCTATAGCCATGCGCAGAACTCACCGAACATCAGCAGGCGACCTTAAGCAGTTTGGCCCTGAAAGTAATAGGACAACTTTTATCACAGCAGTACAAGCACAGATGCTGAGCAAATATTTGTAGCTTCAACCTCTCCCTTACCAATATGAAGAGTGGTGGTTGCTGATTGTTCTCATGCTTCCTAAGCATCAAATGGACAGCATCTGTAGGTGCCCCAAAACTACTCCAACAACCTATTTGGCCATGCCCATTGAAATCTCCTGTTCTCAAATCTCAACAGAACGGCTTAGCAGTAGGCTCGTATCTGAATGGTATGATTTAAGTCATCAAGATACAAGATTGTTAGCAATTTGTTCTTGTGCAATGCAGAACCTCTACAACAATTTTCCCATTAAAAACACACACACACACACAACAGCAACAGGTTTCATCATCTACGAAAAATATCTCAAAAACAGAACAAAAGTCACGATGACAATCTTCTTTCTTCACAGTAGGGGGAACAGAAGGAGAATTTTCTTTTCAGGGGGCTATCAATCAAAAATAAATGTGAAGAGAGTATGCATAAGTTAACTAAACATACAAACATACCAAAGATAAGGTTGAAATCATCGTGCAATTCTTTCCAACAATTTGTCACCATCTTCTGAAGGAATTTGTGTACAATGACCACTAAAGTGGAAAAACAGGAGATCCTCGTATTTTGCCTACTGGAGCATTGGATTAAGGCAACGCTGATGTTGGCACCTGCGGACATGACAGGAGTGGAGAATCAGACAACTTGTTGGTCAAACCCAAATCTTTAAAATCAGCAAATTCCTCATTCAAGTGACATCTTTGATGGGGCAATGCAATTTGTTTTGACACTTAAATGGAATAATTTATTATGGTCACCCAAATCAGAAATTATTATCTTGTTTCTAAGGGCATATTAACATTCTCAATGAAGTTTCTGAAATATCAACTCAATATAACTACTTCACACACATCAAATATTAATAATTTAACAAATTGGCAGCAAATTGCTGCAAAAAATCAGATAAATGGTGACATACATAGTAAAAATTAATAAGAAACAAAATCTCTTTAAGACTTGCATTAATTAAAATGCAGAAGACCAATGTGCACACCCTCCCCCCTAACCATCTTCTTCCCCGTCCTCCTCTGGTAAAAAGGGTGACAGAAAGAAGATTGTACAGATGAACGATGCACACACCAAACGGAAGGTAGCATATGATGAAAAGCAGGAACAAAGATATGGGCTCATAGTTAGTAAAGAGGACAAACAGGCTATCACTCAGCTTATAACTGTCAGACATTCAATTCTCATGTGAGATGATCTCTTAGTTTCCTTGTTGAAAATGTGAATATCAAGCATGAAGCAATAAACATGGCAGGGTGGAAGTCACCTAAGAGAAAGAACGGAAAAGACAACATACTCTCTTGTTCAAACAGAGCACTTCAATATATTGGCACTTCTGCCTCATTATTACTAAATTACATGCAGTGCAAAAAAAAAAAAAAAAAAAAAAAAAAAAAAAAAAAAAAAGGCTTTAATTTTTTGTACTCTTACAGATTTACTCCCTAATTGAGTCATTGATATAATTTCCTTTACTATGAAAAGAAAACAGATACTCCGGATACAACATATATACATACCAGAATCAGTCAACATCATAGAGTAGGATTGTGTCATTGACTCTTAAGTCAATCTTCTGAATTGAAAGAAGTCCAACATCCACTGAAGAGAACAGAATGCCGTGTCCCAGGCTCAGCCTCTTGAACAATAATACCATAGCTTTCTTAATGTTGGCCTCCATGGATATCACAAGGAGCTAAGTGCAACAGTCAATGTTGCTGGGTCGGAATCCAACTCAATGAAAGAGCATCTTTCACATCCAAGTTAGATCCGTTATGGGACCCCACACAGCTGCACTTCGGTACTGGAACAATGCACATTACCAAAAGCTTATTTGCTTTTTACATGAATGAGCATCTTTCATTTGGTAAGGCGTCTTATGCACACTACCTAACATCCCCATGCCTCAGCATAAGCGCCTTACCAAATGAAAGCAAATAAGCTTTTGTTAAATAAGATCTTAAGTAGCGGGATCAAAGGAAATATTCTTCACTACATAAGGGAGATTTTTTGTATACAAATGAGCTTTTGTGGTATATGTAATAAATAATTAGATCAGTTACAGAGCAGCAAAAGGGAGATGCAAATTCATTTTATATTACTCCGTATCATATAAAAGCTCAAATGCTTCTCAATTGAATACTTCAAATACAGTAGTTTATAGTAATAAATTTGCTAAAAGGTTCTATTTGCTCCCCTTCCCCCACCACCCAATCGAAGATCTAATACAGTAGAATCTAGAATATATTCCACAAAACAGAACAATTATACAAAAAAGAAAGCAAGATTTGGAGATCCGAAACCAGTAATCTTTTGCAATAAATCAATATAAGTAAATCACTGTTACAAATTCACCCATATAAAGCAAACCACCAAAAAGATAGCAAAAACCAACGAGTGAAACATCCTGACAAAGATCACAAAATGAGAGATGCCCTTAGAGCTAATGACATGCTATAAAAGATTAAAAAAAAAAATCAGGACAGAATTTACAAAATAAAGTGGCAAAGTTAAAGATCATTCCAGATATTATAAGCAGTGTTCGAGCTGTTATAGTTAACAATTTCATCTTGACATCCCAAAAGGAATGCTGTCCTTATCGGATCTACATTCACCAGTGCATGGGCTATCCCTCTTGGGCTAGCTGCAACAGCAACCTCATCTGCACCAATTACCACTTCAGCATAACCCTTATCAGCTACTTGACTGTTCTCCAGCTGCACATGCATCAATGTCAAGTTATAATACCAGAACAAGGTGTATTATAAACTCCAAAGTAACACAAAATATGACATTGATCCTGCTTGTAGAAAAATCACATCACATCATGCTCACAAATAATCCCTCTATTTAATAATTACAAAGCCAGATAAAGGGACCTAATGACAGAGAAGAAACCAACATTTAACAATTTGAAGAGTTTAAGTATATCAGACCGAGAGAAATGTCTTTAAACATCTCTTAGAAAATATATCTTAACACATGGAAAGATCAAAACTTGCCAACAAATATACAAAGAGTGGTTGCAAGTATCACTCACCTTATGAGCAAATTCCAAATTGGGATCCATGAATCAATATTGTCACCAAAGGTTCAAATTGCTATCAAGAATGTATTAAGATTTTAAACACCTAATCTCAAGTAATGATTATGAGGTAATCATCAATCTCAAGTAATTGATGATTGGCTAAATCTGTCTTTATTCAGGTGAGTGGATAAAATCAAAGAATCATGGTAATTCTTAACAATGCAGTATTATTGAGTACTCACTAAAAAAGTTAACATCTCCTTTTGAAGGTCAAAGTTAATCTCATAAAAAATATCAATGTAGACACCAAAAAATGTACTCCGTATTAATCAATGATGTCAAACCTGTCTAAAATAAGGAGATAATATCACAAATACATGTGATTCCAAGTTATAACTGCACTGTACAGTGAATATCATCCATAGGGTTTCAGCAGGTCAAGGTTGAGATAGATTAAAGTCAAAAAAATTATATCCTCATTTCCTACCTAATATCAAAAATCAATTGTAGCCTTCGTACGTTAAGAAGGAGCAAGTCAATAAGACTCTACTACCTCCTTACTACTAAATTGTAGGTCCATAGTCTATAATAAATTGATAAAACCACAATACTACAAAACAGCACATGAAATCCCATCCCTTGAGAAGAGGAATCAAGAGATACAATCAACTTAACTTTTTACGGTATATAGGTCAAACTATTGTTCCATGAACATTTGCACCGAAAGAGGCTAAACGATACATTTGCTCCCAATCCCATTTGCAAACTATTGTTTAATGACAGAATTAGCTGAAGCAGCTCCAAAGAAGCTTAACTATTTCAGTGGTTAGAGCAAACATAGATATAATAGAAAGCAACAGAACAATGGTACAAATGCAAATCATAGAATCCATCAAACCACCAAGGTACTCATTTTTTCTACCATCACATGAAACAGGCAATATAATTATAGAAATCCATTCCAAGAAGAAATAAAAGCATACCCTAAACTTTATATGAGCACCCCAAATGATGAATGTCTCATTGCTAGTATAGTGTCTGTGATTCCCTCGAATTCCTCCGGGTCGGATTTCACCAACATGAACTGTAGCACAGAACAGTGCCCCACCTGAATACACACCAAAAAACACCAACAACGAACATTGTTTCAATTCCATTATCTATTATTGCATGATGAGTTAGCCAAAGTTAATTTTAAAAAAATGTAGAAACCCCAAATTAATTAATTTTCCTACTTTTTCCTGCTGCAGAAAATGATTAATCATAATATCATAAGAACTATGGAAACATAGGATATAGTTATAAACAGCACAAATCTATCAGTAACTCATTTCCAATACACCGGGATCGAATCCTGTCTACATCATTACCTTTTGCGACTCTCTAAAACTAAAAAGAAATTGATAGAGATTTATGTATGTATATACCATTAATACCAGCATCATTTGCAGCAGAAACAGGATTAAGCAACCAACCCCTTTTATCTTTAGCCAATTTAGAAGGAAGAAACCTAACCAAATTAGCTTTAAAGTCTTCTTCTTTACTCCATCTTTGAGGATTTTGAAGAACAGGAGAGAAATGAGAAGGGTTGTGAAATTTGAGAGAAACCCAAGTGAGAAAAAGGAAGATTAAGAGTAAAACAGGAAAAGCTTGAGGCTTTTTCAACAAATTCAGGATTGAGGAGAGAGAATTTGATTGGAATTGAAAAGAATTGTCTGAACTTAGGTTTCTTCTTGGACTCACCATGTTTGGCGCATGCCTATTTTCTGAGTGATTTCACTGTTTTCAGGTTGAAGGTTTTGGTTATGGCGTAATACTCTGATTAAAAATTTCAACACTGAGTCAAGTACTCAAGACTGTCATTGAAGATGAGACTCAATTGGTATAACCGTAAAAGATACACCCGGTTGTACATTATATCAATTGAAGGACCAAAACAATCCTCGTAGCATGTAAAAGTACATGTAAATGTCTAAACGGGTGTACCCGACTACCCGTGGACCGTGTATGTTCTAATATAACTCATGAAAGTAAAGTTTTGAGAAATTATTTTTAATCTAAAAAAATGACATATTCTTGTCGTTTGATTATTATAATATAATTAACTTTGAATGAATTGTTCCTTCATTCCTTTTTTAATAATTCGAATAGTATTGTATCTGTAAATCTAAGTTGATCACCAAAATTAACAAATTTCATTGATGTGGTGGCATATTGATAAATAAAATGGCTACTGTTCAATATTTTATCGATATAGTAACCCAAATTGATCTTAAATGAAAAAACTCGGTCATTAATGGTATAAATAATATTTTTTTTACTGACATGAATTAATAAATGAAAAAACTCGGTCATTACAAAATTAAAACTACATACACCATACACCTTACACCTTACATTGTTGGATGAGTGAAAAATAAGGATTAAGAGCATGTTTATTGGTACATGGCTGTGGCTCTTAGCCAAGATCCATCTTTTACTAACACGCCGGTCACTCTAAGGAGAACTACTCAAGAGTCACTCAAGACCTCGATTGCTAAGTATACTAATCGAGTAATCGGAATGTGGATTTGAACTTAAGTATCAACTTCATAGCTTGACGTTTCTGCAATTATGCCTACCTTGACAATGAAATCCCAAGTTTTATTAATTTCCTTCAAAAACAATTGTTTCGGGTGAAAACAATGGGACCTTGCCGAAGGTCCGCTGAAACGGAGAAGGCTGGATTCGGTCCAAGTTATGTTGGGCCGAAGGTTTCCTGCACAGTAAACACACGTAAACTAGCCTCGGGGGTGTTGCCGAGGAAGGCCCCTCCGATGCTAAAGTCAGTACAATGTGTAGGAAGAGGACACTATGCAAGAGAGTTTGTTGCTTGAGGCTTTGATGGAATATATGAGAATATATGAATGAACAAAATAAATGTATCAATATTGATGGCTTTTATACCTCTTCATACATGGAGAGGTTGGGCCTTAGCCCAATTGGCTTGCTTTGTGGGCTGACCTTTGACTTTAGCACAATTGGAGAGTTGAACCTTGACCTTGGGCTTTTAATTGGATCATTTAATGCCTAGGCCCAATTGGACTAAATTGGACCCAAACAACTTGCCCCCCAGACCCGATTTGGAAGGATGACGGGTCGGGTTTAATTTAATTCAGAAATGGAGGGAAGTAAATGATTTAATTAATCCAAAAATTTGAATTTAAACCGTAATTAATGAGATAACAACGGTTAAGGCGGATGATTGTGGAAGTTGGACGGATAATGGCAGTTTAATCGCAAGGTCGTGTGTTTAACGGTTACTTAGTGGGGTATTTAAGAGAAATTGAAACGCGGACTCCTCGAATTCCCATTCCTGGAGATATAAACAGAGGCGCGTCATCTCTCCTCACTTATTCACCAACACAAACCCAGAATTCTCGAGAGAAACCAAGAACACGCATCAAAACTTCGCAAATTCCCCGAGCAATAAGCTTAGAAACTGAGACTTGCCACTACGAACTCGTAAATCGGCAACTTTCGCTTCAGATTAAGGTAAATTCCTTTGATTTCAGTTTATTTTTCTTCGAATTCGAACTCCTTCCCCTTTTCTTTCGACTTTTTTCTTCGAAATAATCAATGGCAAGAGGAGTTAGAGGTAGATCCCGTGCTCCAAGAAGAGCAAGGCCGATTCCCGATCCTAGGAACAGGATTGGGACCTGGAATGGACAAAGGCCAGAGTCTGACCCTGCTGATGGGATTAGGGCGACTCCCCTTTCCTCGGCTCCTCCTCAGAGAACGGAGGGGCCGAGCGCTTCTGGACGGGATGATGAAGTTCCCGCTGTCCTTTGGGATATCCTCCCCGGGTTTTCAGAATGGGAGAATGCCGAAGTTGCTTCGGCCATGATAAAGAACCGCCCCTACCCATGGTGGGTGGAGAATGCCGATCAATATCGATTTGCCGAGCAAATTGAGTTGCATTACGGCATTTTTGAAGCTGATGGGTATTGGTGCCGAATGCCCTCGGCATCCGATAGAATCCATCGTCCACCCCCGGGGTATGTGGGGGTGTACACAAGACAGCTTCAGTACGGGCTGAGGTTCCCTTTGGACGTATTCGTCCGAGACTTGCTGATCCATTACAACATCTCTCTATGTCAGTTAACTCCCACCAGCATCCGAAGGGTGATGACATACTTATGGGTCTGCAAGTTCTTCAAGTATGTGCCGAACCTGCACTGCTTCAAAAAGCTCCATCGGCTAGTGCCAAATATTCAAAGTGGGCACGGAAGCCATGGTTCTGGGTGGTACCGGATTGAGTCCCGGCCCCAATACCTAACCATGTGGCCAAACGACTCTTCAGACAAGGACTGGAGAGGTCAATGGATTTGGGTTAGGGCACCCACAGATCCGGGCCACCCTTGCGTCTTCAGCGCTCCCCGGTACCTCGCTGAGCCTGATCCCGAAATGGGAAGTCTAGGTCCCCCCGCAGATAATGGGGCGGATCCGAACCTTGATCAGCAACATATCTTCGGCAAGCTGCCGAACCGGGGGGGCAGTGGCCGAATGCAGCATATCCCGGAGACTTGGCTCCCCGATACGCATTACGTTTTCCAAGAGAACATGCTAGCAGCTGTTGGCCTCAGCCGAAAGTTTAAGGATGGTAAGCTTCTTCGGCTGGGGCCGAGGCTTTTTAATTATCTCTTTTTCTTCTCTCGCTTCGCTTTTTTATGCTGTGCCAACCTATCTGAACTGACCTTTCCCCTTTTCTTTTTCAGAGCGGGACGAGACCAACGTTGGCATTAACTACGCTCGTCTTGGTGTCAACCGAGAACGAGTTGTAACTGAACGGGCCCCGTCTATCACTGAGCTGAGGCATAGGGAAGTTCATCTAGACTCTTCCCACTTCCAAATTGAGGCTGTTGCTCTGTATCAGAGGCAGAAGCCTTGGTGGAAGAAGAGAGACCCCTGGTTTCAGCTGCTGGACGAAGAAGCTGAAGCTGCCCGTACAGCCGAAGAGGTTGCACGGGTTCTCGAAGCTTGCGAAGGAGGAGAAGGGTCCTCCAGAGCTGCTGAAGCAGAAGCTGCAGCTAGGGCAGCTGAAGAAGACGAGGCTTTGCTGAAGACCTCGGTGAGCTTTCAGACTTAACTTTGTCTTTCTTTTTTTTTTTTTTTTTTTACTCACATTCTTCCTCCCCCCTGTTTGTTACAGTCTGAAGAGAGTAACAGACATAGAGAAGGGAAAGCTCCTGTTCGTCCCGAAGACCAAATACAAGGAGAGTCTTCAGACTCAGATATGGACGAGCAGCCCCTTCAGAAAAGGCGCCGAAGGATGGCCATCATCGGCCCTCATGACTTTCAGCGGAGGCCGATGACCATCGGCGTTGCAATAAGGGAACCCGAGGAAGGCAATGGATCGCCGAGGGTTCCCCGGCCACCACCCCAATCACCTCAAAAGACCCCTCCGCCACCTCCTGAGATGGAGGTGGATCAGAGAACTCCCGAATCTAAGGGAGGGGTCCAAGAAGAAATTAAGGAGAGTGCTGCTGAGCACAAAAACAAGGATGCCGTGATGCCCAGTGCTGAGGGCTTCACGGCAGACATCGCAAGAGAGGTTGAGGCTTTCGTCCTCACCCCTGAAGAAGAGGAGGTCATAGTAATTGACTCCTCTGAGAAGGATGATGCTGAGCCATCCAAAGCTAATCAAGCTCCATCGTCATCCTTCCCTTCCTTCCAGACTCTGCAATCTGGAGAAATGGGTTTCTCGGCCCCCCGAATTCCAATCCCAGACCACATCTGGGACCTCATATGGGGTCAGAACCGAGAAGGAGCTGCAGCCTACTTCGGCGATTTTGCTGGCATGTCCGAAGTAGATAGGGCAAGGATCTGGTCGCTGAAGGCCACTGCTGGGATGGGCGAATCCAGCAGATCAGTTCCTGACCCAGCCAGGTCTAACCAACTGCTGATGATGCAGGTAATTTTCCTTGTCTTCATTTCCTCTGAAATTCAGCTCTATTTTTATTATTATATATATATATTTTTTTTTTTTTTGTCTTCCTGTTTTCAGTTCGTGCACAATCAGACTCTCACTGTAGAGCTGATAGATACCCTACAAGATAGGGTAGACGCTGCTGTGCACGACAAGAAGGTAGCTGAAGAGGAATTAAAGCTTGCTAAGCTGAAGCAAGCAGCAGCTGAAGAGAAGCAGCAGAAGGGTGAGGAGTACGAGAAAAGAGCTGCTGAAGCCCTCAAAACCTTCTGCGACGCTATGGAGAAGGAAGTTTTTCCCCCACTGATGGAAGGGGAAAAATTCCTCCAGGAGCATATGGGAGTGGACGTCTCCAAATTCAAGGCTGCTGTTGAGAGCCGTATTCAGGAAGGAGCTGCTGCACAAGCTGAAGTGCAGCAACGACTAGAAGCTCTTGAAGCCAGCCGAATGGCTGCTGAAGAGCTGCTCCAGGCCAGAGATGTCCAACTCTCAGAGGCTGCTGCTGCTGCCGAAGCTCAGAGAGCTAAACTCCATGAGGCTGAGGATCAACTGATGACCAAAAAAGTTGAAGTGGCCCAGGCTCAGACAAAGGCTTCCCAAGTTCAGCAGGAGCTGAATGAGCTGAAAGGTTCCTCCTCCAAGCTCGCTGATGAGCTGAAGAAATCCAAGGAAGACTTGGAGGAGACCCAGAAGAAGCTGGCTGATGCTGAGGCTCTACTCAAAGTCCGTGTCTATACCCAAGAGGAATATGAGATGGGTTTCAGAAACGGGTTCAGAGTATGCCGAAGAGTCTGCCTTCATGCTGAGCCGAAGCTGGACTGGTCCAAATGTGCTGAATGGGTCCAGAATCCCGAAGACCCTCATATGAAGTATGCAACTCCAGTCGAAGCTGAAATTCTTAAGGCTGAGGAAGCCGAAGAGGAAGCTGAGAGAATGGAGTTGGAAGCTGAACAAAGGGAAAGGGAGGCTCGGCAGAGTGCAA